ACACACACACACACACACACACACACACACACACACACACACACACACATACACACACATACACACACACTTAAAAGCTGGATTTTTGCAGAAGGTTCAATATTTACATCCAGCCTAATCGTCAAGTGTGGCCTTTCCTAAGAATTAATTAGTCAGCACTTGATAATTAATCTCAGCAAATGATATCTTGTTAAACTCAATTGTCATAGAACCAAAGTGTCAACTTTCTTGAGTGGCTGCTTCTATAGTAGGTGGGGAAAAATTCAGTAGCGCTGCTTGGTGTAACGGGATGTTAAAAACTGGTTAATTCACCGTTTGCTGATATAGACGAAAAAAAGGAATACGAATATTTGCCATCTAACAGTTGAGACTACAGCAGAGATTATAGTACAAAATGGATACGTAATTCGCAATTAGCATGTCAAATAATCTCAGTAGACCACTTTTTGAGTGGATCCGTAACTTTGACCTTTCTACAGTACATCTGCTGAAACCCTACAATGCCTCTACCGTGCAAACTGAATAATATCCGCGTGATCAGCACTTCAAATAAGTCAACTTGACAAAGTTTCGGCGAAATCCGAGACTTCGAAATCTTAGCGGCAAGAATACCGAATTCTATCGATCGATGACGCCACACACTTATGCTCAAGGCAGCATACAAATTCTTGACCCAAAATGGCAAACTTCAGACCTCACTGAAACTTCGCCTTTTAGGTATATGCTGATCAAGTATATATTAATAGGAAGGATTCTTCAACGTTGTCGTTTGCAGTGAAGATTTTGGTGGTATATTTACATATCGCTCCGACATTAATAACTACACTATATAAAACTTAAATGCTTCTTCTGCGTTAGAAGACAGCTCCATTGTTTATGTCCTCTGAAGTGCAAAAGTTCGTTGTGATAAGTGCATGAAAACTTGCTCCTCCTTAAAGAATGGTGTCAGACAAGGTCAGATACTGATGAACCAGTTTCTGGAATGTATAACCCAAATTACTTACACACCATTACGTACTGAGCATCACTTCAAAAGAGAAATCTGACCAAATATACAAAAGAATAAACGTTGTTCTACTAGAAGCCTCCATAATTATGCAGTATTAATGACTTTATGTCCTGTTTTCAGAAAGCCCGCCTTGCTGTGATAAGCGACAGTAAAAGCTTCTGTCTTTTACTGATGCACAATTTTAGCTTGCGCTCAGTATAAGATGTAAGATAACATCATTGAATGCGTTAGTGTGTAATCCAAACACCGCAAGTGCTCTCAGCCATAGTGAAGCGTGGTTCGAAATTTCTCAATGGAGCTACGCCTGTCTTCGGCATCCGACTCGTTAATAGAGCTAACAGCTAGCCCTCATCCAAAAGCGTAATCTCAGATTCACGTGGCATCCATCGATATCCCGTCAGTGTACGAACGTTCATTATTGAGCTCGCTGCAGTATCATGAAACCAGCGCAGCCCATGTGATTGCGCATTTATTCCTTGCTTGTTCAAACTCTTCTCCAAGCTACTAGTCATCATTCACAGGTTTGAAAGTTTTTCTGTGAGAACTTCTTTTAAGATGTGAGTGCTTGAGGGTTGAGAAGTCTGTGTATTACGTTGGCAAAGAAACGACCGAAATTTCTTTTGTTAAGTTAAAACAAAGAAACACATTTGCTCAGCACAATATCATCAGATTTAAGACCGATAAGAACCTGCAAAATCCGCCAATCGATCCAATTTGTTTCATCCTCTCCTGTTTTCTTTGTGAAAAAAATTGTTTTGCAAGTGGATTCATAAAGTGAACAAATAATTGTAAAAATCTCCAGGAAAATAAAAGCAGTCTAACGTGAAGGAAGCTTGTATACAAAAGTAGCTTTAACTGTTAATTTGAAGTCCACAGCAGATTGCCTCCAATTCATTGTCCGCAACTTCCTGAATTGGGGTAAATCTACAATAATGTAGCGCATTCTAAATTTCGGTAACAGGAATGCGTGAATGTACTGATATACCTATATCAGCGTACTCTCATATCTAGAATAAGAGATGACCGCATAGTTCACAACGCTCTCGTTTGAGGAAGTGCTCTCACGGCTAGATCGATGAAAAGTTTCCTCGTTCCTCTAATTCTTCTTTTAATTACTATGCATTGGCAGGCCAGAAAGGTTTTTTTTTGTAATAGTTTCCGCACTGAGCCTTCTAATCCTTGATATGGTATTGTTCCCTATTATGGTTATTCTGTTCTAGGTTTACTCGGAACTGCAAAGTTTGTGTACGGAATTTCTTTTAGGAAAGCTCTCTAGCGACTCGCATATCAGATGTTTTATATGGCGCTTTACCTTTGAAAAGCAACTCTAACTTTGTCGAGATAATTTGACACGTTGCAGACTGTGAGAGCGCATCGTGCTATTCTAAATTCGCTATCTAGTTTTGTGAATGTGGCAAAAAAACGAGTGGAAAGGATTTCCGAATATGCTGGGACATTTCCCAATCTTTCTTGGCTACGGTCAGTTTTGGAAGGTACGTATGAAATAAATTAACGAATATAAGATACCTGTATATGCAGTTCTTAAGGTCAAGCTCCTCGAAACAGCGCTTTGCCTAGGATTTTATATCTCTCTTAGCAATTTCAAGCAAAAGAGTGCTGTATTATCAAGAAAATTTACCGTAGAAAACGTCTTGTACAACAGTGCCACCTGTTAATCTCCTAATTTTCTCACAAACGGCAAACTTGGAGCATTTTTGGAATTATGCGCAAAAACTAAAGCTACGGCCTCTAAACACAATTATTTTTGTTACACCACTTTCAAAACGCACTCATGCTATGAGTTCCGTTATTTCAAAGAAAAATATGTAGAGTCCCACGACAATAGCCGCCATTACCTGTGCTTAGACCATATTTAGAATACTAAAACTCTCTAGCAGCTACCTGCGTTAAATTCGATAGAACACGAAAAATAAAACGATTTTGCGGTATCTTGGGGTTTCATTCGTAACATGATTGTTCTAGCAGCTGAGGTTCAGAGTGTCGCGCCAGTTGCAAAGCTTACATATCTGAGTATATAGTCCAGCTAATTATAGCGAGTATTTCGACCTCAAAAGTAAGCATTTGGTAAATTCTTAAATAATTTGCAAAATATGATAAGAACTTGTAAATTGAAACTAGATTAAATTTGCACATTACTAAGAATGTATTCAAGAGAAACACTGACAAGCTGCATAAAGATAAGTTTATAAAGATGAGATTCTAAAAATTACGTTTTGGAGTGATGAGTGTCATCAACTCTCTTGCATCACAGCGCCCAGATGGATAGTTGTTCCTAGTATGAACAACTTGTTACACACAATGGACGCCAAACAATTAAGTGAGTGATATGTGTATATACATTCATATTTTGGCACACCGTTTCTTCAGTATACTGCATAAACTGGGCGAATTCCATTAACGGGCAAGCGTTGTGCCAATTGTCCTTCCATCAATGCTTTACCCGGACAAAAGAATGCAAGAAAGTTGGTGATACGCATCATTTCAAAAAGTACTTTTTATCTCATTTTTAAGCTTATCTTTATGCCGCTTGTCAGGACTCTTTTGAAATTTTTAGTAATGTGCAAATTTGATTCAGTTTCACTTTACGATTTCTGCATTTTGTCAGTTATTTTTTATTCTAATAGCAAATGCTTACAAATTCTTTCTTTTTCATTTCGTTGATCGCTATAATGAAGTGAATATTTAAATTATAGGCCATTTTCTTTTGGTTTTTATCTTCATAAAATTCGGAATCCTCAAGGCAATGGGGATAATTAGCGATGTTTTGCTGGTAGGCTGTAGCCTTAGACACTTTTTGAAGCAAATTTCTATAATATCCCGTTCGCAAAAATATGTTTTTGGACAGTTTGAAATGCAAATATCTGAACCTCACTGGTAAAATAATGTTACCAAACCGAGGAAAACTCGAATAATCAGCACAGATACCGTACCTCTTCTAAACACAAGTCGCTCAAGTTTAGGCGAATTTTAGATACCGCAGAACTATTTCTCAATTTCTAGGCAAATTTGGCAAACATCTATCTTTAGGGAAACGCGTGGTATTCTAGAGTTTTCTGCAAACCTTGAACAAAACAATTAAGAGCAACTTTTGTTTCTCATTTGTGACTTAATAGTTACTGACTGTCTTACAATAATTCTTGCTTTGTCCCTAACTCTAAGATAGAGCAGAAATTATTGTAAGAGAGTCAGTAGCTATAGCTGGGTTGATTAGAATAAACTAGGCATGCAGATAAAATTTTCGTGTGCTTCTCCAATTTATGATATGCGTATGCGTTTACGAGTCATGAAGACACTTGAACTAGCTACGATGGCTGTCTAGCAGTCACAATATCATGTTTCAGGTAACAAGTGTACTGTAATAAGGAATCGCTTTTTTTCCTCTCCTCAGTCCTCATTCTACTCTTATCTTTTGAAGCTCTTCCAAATCTTCTACAAGTTTTGGAATGGGCTGCAAAAAACGCAGTGCACCTTTACCTCTGCAAAAATCATTTCAAATTTTTTGCAGCGTGCTCCGCAATTTTAAAAGATCTCCACGTTTTGGCTAGAGAGCTTCTAGAGGGAAGTACACACGCACCCTTCCCAGGTTGTTCTTCAAGTATGAAGGAATATACTCAAATTTGTCGTCTATTTTTTAGGGGATCCATATAGTTCATCCTTTGCTCGATACGTTTAATATGCCAATTGAAAAATGAATGTCTGACTTCATAGGAGGGATAGATTATCTGACATGTATGGAATGGATTCCAATGTCTCCTCCGACTTCGACTGTTGACACAGAGGCTGCAGCCTGGCGTTGGTGAAACTCGTAGAGAAATTGTCCGTTGACGTATATCTAAATAGAAAATGTAAAATCTTCCATATTCTTAATGTTTAAAAATAGTAATATGGTTTGAGGAATGAATAAGAAAGATTTCATGACTCTTCTTGTGAAGAAGAAAAAAACCTCACGAGGGCGGTGTCATGACTGCCAGCAATAATTTCGACGGTGTAAATGCGCTTCTTCTCGAAAGGAAATAAAGCATCCGGCCGCTCTTCGTACTGCCAACTTCCCATATAATAGGAATTGAAAACTAATTTTCTGTCCTAAACGTAGATTTTGAAGCAAATGGTTGTATCTAGAAGAATATTTTTAAACGCAACTAGCATGATTATGTTACCGCCGCATAAACAGTGCGAAACAAAGAGTATGCGTCCAGATTTCTACCCTGCACTATATTCTGCTAGAATACAGAGATGGTGGATCCCCCCACTTGTTAAGGCCGAGCCATGCCTGTAACAGCTTTGAACATAGCAGCAAACCTTCCGCACGGCCATTTTCAACGCACAGATACACAAGACTGGGCTGATATTCATTTTTGCAGAGGCAATTATGGGTCACATCTAACAAAATCAAAGTATGACAAAGTGGAATGCTATGAACTTACATGCACAAAATTTGGATCCTTCACTTCCTTTATGATGGCTCGGCTTAGCCAGGAATAACATTCTCCCACTTTCAAAGTATTCATGGTTTCAACCCTTTATCTTAACATCATTATTACTCTATCCTTCCGCCTGTTTCATTCTCTGGCTTTATAGGTTACCCTACCTTTTTTGCATTGAAGTTCGCTTGCTTAGCCGAAGTAATAAAAACGGTGCAACCATGTGAACTACCGATGGTATCAATTCGTCAATTGTTCAATGGGTTGCAGCACATGTAATATACGAAGAATTAGACAAAAAAGAGCCGAAATTTAGGGAGATAGTCTAATCGCCACTAAAATCGTCGTTCAGCGCAAACTACAGAGAAATTTCAGATAAATTTTACTGCCTAGATGCAATTTAAGGATTTGGTTGTTATTCTTAAAAAAATCCTGGGTAAACGAGATCTTTTCAACAAAGGCGTCATATACAAATCTAGTTCTAAAAAAGTGAAATTAAACAAAAATCATGTTAAGATGAGGCAGAAAAGCGATTCAACCTACGAAAATTAACAACTTAACCGATAATTT